CGTATTCGTTGCGTGCGGTGTCGGGCGTGATCGCGGCCTTGTCCAGCCCGATCTCGCCCACGATGGCGCGCGGGTTCGCCACCAGCTTCTCCCGGAGCTCCTCCAGCCAGCCCTCCGCGAGCCTGCACACCACAGAACACCACCGCTGGCGGCGCTGGTCAGCTCCGCACCACCACGCTACGTGTCACGCCCTACGGACCTGTGCGCGAAGTACGGGTGGACGCCGAAGGCCGCGAGCACCTTGTCCGGCTTTGCTCGGTGCAGCCGCTCCACCACTCCCCTGTGTATTGAATCAAAAAATAAATAATAATGAATAAAGCAAAAACCATTAATTAAATCAATAAATTGGTACCAATCGTTCTGGCTGGTGCCCATGAGCGCGACCTTGTCCACGTCGAGCTCTGGGATGTCGTCGAGGTGGGCGAGGTCATCATGCGCGTGGCTGTGCGTGTCGAACAGAAACCGTGGTTCCATCTTCTTCACAAATCGCGATTTTGTGCTGTACTCACAATTTAGTAGCGTAGGTCTGGACAAGCAGCGCTGCGGCAAGAAGATGTGCACGCGTGGGCTGCACCTCACACGTCGCATTCATGCATTCATCATCTGCAGAACGCGTTGCGTTTCTCTGTGCCGCAAGCAAGCCGTTTATGATGACGTCAGCAGCCCTAACTGTGAGCCTAGCCTTCGAAGAGGCAGCACCACTCGAGTGATCAAGAAGAGGAAGAGGAGGAAGACGAAGAGGAAGTGGCGGTAGGAGGGAGGAGTCGTCGCTTGAGGTGCGTGCCCTCGAATACGCCCTGGCGGTAGTAGGGCGGCGGCGGCGGCGGAGGCGCTGCGCTGACGGCAGCACCCGGCTGCCTTCGGCTCACTCGGTCCAGCCATCGCTGCAAGCGCAGGAAACGACAGAGTGAGTCATCATCATCATCGTCATCACCAAGGAAGCAGGCGTGAGAGCGTGTGGTGTTGGTGAGGTTGTGCAGTACCTTGATTCGTTCGCGGGAGGCGAGGGTGGTTCTGTCGAGGGTCTGCTGCACGCGCTGGTGCATTCGCTGCTGCTGCTGCTGTTGCTCCTCGGCCGACGACATGGCCGGAGCGGGCGAGGAAGAAGAAGGCGCCGGCGAGGCGGGGGAAGAGCCTGACGACGACGTCGTCCTGCTCAGCTTCACCTGGAAACGTTCGGCCGATGCGGTGAGCACACCGCAGCCAACATGAGGGGGCAACTGGAGAGGTACCTGCGGTGGCGGTAGCGAAGACGCAGTGCTCTCGGGTGCTGGCTGCCGCATGATGTACCGCACCTGTATTATTATAAAAATGAACAATAATTCCAATATATATTTTATTATATTTTTAAATAAATAAATAAATAAAATAGAGAAATAGTTAAAGGCCAGGAGCGTACAGTGTAAAAGGTGAGGGCACCAGCGGTGAAGGCCGCCACCACAGACCAACCCAGAGAAAATCGTGACATAAGAGGGACGATTGGAGGTGTTGCGCCCCTGAGATTTGTTGCATGCGGGACCTCGGGGGCTGAAGGAGGGCGAGTGTGCATATTCTGCTCACCATGCTGCTGTGGCCCACCCGAACGCCACCCTTCTCCATCTGGTGTACCACTGCTTGCCATCCTTGAGCTCTTCTTTCTTGGCCACTCGCTGGCTTCTTGTCTTCCTTTTTATTACTTCGAAAAACCATGAAATACTGTCGCGCTGGCCCGCCAGTCGTGTGTCGTGAGTGTCGTGTCGTGTCGGTGTAGACGTTATTGTCATTGAAGCTATTACGATGTTGTGCCCTGGCCATGGCGAAAGACGGATTCGATGCGCCCATAGGCAGTGATAGGACCCATGTCCGACACGAGCACCGTGCCCAGGGCAGCGTTGCGCGCGTAGGGCTCCACAAACACATCGCCCTGCACGGTGTTTGCCAGTGGCGCCACCACAGCGCAAAGGTCGATCAGACAAGCGTGTGCACACACAGAGGGGAAGACGGGAGCGTACCAGAGGTTTGACCTGCACAAGGGTGCTCATGCCCCGATCCACACGAATCACAGCAGCCTTGCCATCTTCTTCAACCGGCACTTCCTGGCCCTCGGTCCAGAGGGAGATTATCTTCTCAACCCTTTGTCGCTTCACGATTAGTCTTGGGTCGTCCGGTGTGTGCGGTGCATCGTGTGTGCGGTGCGCATTGTGTGTGCAGTGTGTCGAGTCCGGTATGATGTGCGTGAGCATACCGACAGGGAAGTGAGGCCGTGTGGAGGATGAAGAGGGGAGCGATGCCGCAGCGCAAGTTCATCGGAACCGAGTGCACCAGACGAACTGTGAAGGACTCGATGCGGGACGCCTCCAGCGCATTCTCCGCAGCCAGCACGACACCGCGACTCAGGCGCCAGGTCGCCCACTTCGCCTTCCTGTTCCTTGTTGGAATGCACATTCCAAACGCATTATGTGAGGAGGAGGAGGAGGAGGAGGAGGAGGAATGCAGCGCACCTCACGGCGCCTCCGCTGGCAGCTTTCAGTACAACTCCTGCTGGAACGCGCTCCACTCCCAGCCGCAGCCCAACCAGTTCTCCTGCCGCCGCGACACGTCTTCGTGTGTGTGTGGTGTGTGTGTGTGTGTGTGTCAGTTGATGCTAACTAATCACCACAGTGACCTGGTACCTGGGCTTGTAGAAACGCTGAATGCTGAGCACGGTGAAAGTGACGACCGTGGGGGGCTTGGACACGATCGGTGGGCCACGACGAAAGGGCCTACGTCGGCACACGATCGGCCCTGGCAGCACGGCTTGCAGCACTTGGCCCTCGCGTACCATCCCCGACTGCACCAGCACGACCACCACCTCCTCCGGCTTCTTCGTGCCGCTCTGCCCGCCAGTGCATAGCACGTTCTCTCGTCGCAGAACTGACACGCGCACAGGACCGAACAACGATCGCTTCATAACCACTCTGCTCGCCGCCTGCTCCATGACGTCGAACAGCATCGGCCCCTCGTACCTGCACCCCCCGCCCGTTAGTCACAACATACTCAAAGCCGAGTCGCGCGGGCGGAAGGGGGTCGCGAAGTGGCCGCACCAGGGAAGCGAGGAAGGCCGGCAGACTACGTTTTCGCCGGACCACGCCGAGATGGGCAGCACTACCAAGTCTGCTTGGGCGCGTCGCGCGTGTGTGTGGTGCCGCGTGTGTGGCGTGTGGTGTGGTCAACAACAGGAGAGATTCAAACAACCAGCAGGCGGTGTACCCTCCGGTTCGAACCCCGCGCCTGCCGCCATTTGCATCACACAGTCCTTGATCATCTGCCAGGGCGAGAGTCAGTTGGCCTGGCCGAATCCAGAAAGGACACAACGAAAGCGGAGGTGGCGCAGGAAGCGAAGTACTTCGAAGTGAGAGTGGCTCATGTGGAAGACCGCGGGGTCATCCATCCTGTTGACCGCAACAATCACCTTGGACACGTTGGCGCTCTTCGCCAGAACCAGGTGCTCCGGAGGTACCACTAGTCGAGTGTCACGTGAGGACGCAATGCATTTGACCTGTATGGTACGTACCGTTTGTTAGTCCCGCGTTGATGTGGTACTGGTGAACTGACGCCACAAGTATGGCCACGTCGGCCATCGATGCGCCCTGCACACATGCCCGCGCACGCGCACACGCACACGCATACGCACACCATGCGAGTGAGCTAGTTCGGTTCCTTGGGCTCAATCGAGATCAGGCGCATGCACGAACGATGGAAGTGTTCTTGATGAAGTCGCAGTGACCGGGCAGATCCACGATTTCAATCTCACGACCACTACTCAAAGTGCATTCTCTTGTGTGCCAGTCGATTGCTGCACGATACACGCACCAACACGACACGACACATAACATACGACCCCCATGCGTGCCGAGTAGAGCGTCAATGTGAGAAATGGTTCATGGAAACTGGCTGCCGACCAAGTGTATGTACGTACTGATTCCGCGCTCTCGTTCCAACTTGAGACGGTCGGAAATCCAGGCGTACTTGAGCTTGTACGTCCTCACACCCACCAAATTGGCTTCATCACTGTTCCGCTGGACCTCTTGCTCTGTGGCAGCCCCCAGGCCCACGAGTATGCGCCCTGCATTTTTCGACAACACACACCACACACACACACGCACGCACGCACACACACACACACCAATCAATGTGCTAAGAGATCGAGACGGGCGAGTACCAATGAGGGTCGACTTGCCGCAGTCCACCTTGCCCAACAGGCAGAACCGAGGCCGCTTCTGCACACGCGGACAGCGGGCAACCCTGCTGTCAGCAGTCGACCCCGCCCCACGCGACAACGGTCAAATGGCGGGTTATGGGGCACCGAGCTGGCTTGGGCGATGAAGGTCTTGCGCCAGCCATCAGGGTCCCCTTCGTAGAGGTTGACGACGCTGGGGAAGTAGCGGCGAACGAGGCGGTGCCAGAGCTGCGGCTCGGTGGCCAGCGCGTAGAAGCCGCGCGAGACGAAGCTCACGCAATTCACCACGCGCTCTACGTCCACATACGACAGTACATGCACCCACACCTGGCAACGAAGACGCATTGAAAATTATAATGAGGTAATCATTATAAGTTATATTCTTATTTATTATTTAATCTAATTAAAATAATAAATAAGAATATAGCACTCGGACGCGATGAACTTAGGCAACTAAAAGGAAAGGGCGACCTCAGGAGGTAGGTGAGCTGAGCAAACCTCAGCGACGGGCTCACTCAGCGACATGCTCGTGAACAGTGTTTTTTGTTTAGTGAAAAGAGAGAAAGTGAAAGGAAAACAAAAACAATGAGTAGCCCCAAGGGAAGAAAGGCCAACTGTGTCAGCTCTTGCTCTTGCCAGTTCTCTGCGCTACCCACTCGAGCATCTCCTTGTACAGCTCGTGCCGCGCCGACTCGTCGAAGAGGGAGTGCGCCCACCCTGCCAACTCCTGGTAGGTGGAAAGGTCAGATGTGCCTGTAGTGCATCGTGCGGGAAGAGAATGCGCGAAGTGAGCTTGGGATGTTGGTACCCGGTAGGCCTTGTCCTGGCTCCGGGCCTGTTGGTGGAACAGCACGCAGCCTTCGGCGTTGGTGACCGTGTCTTGCGTTCCTTGGAAGATCACGAACGGCCACTCGACATTGTGTACAGTCTAGACGGGGGGCAAAAGAGCATCGTCAGCGCACGCGTCTCTGATTGATGTGCAGGCGCCGCTGTCTGCGAGACGTACAGAAGTGACCCGCTGCATGGCTTGAAGCATTTCCCAGCACCAACCGGCGCGCATGCCAAAGGGGAACGTGTAGGTAAGCGGGTCGGAGACGTAGCAATTCACTGCACAGGCAGGATGAGTCAGCTGAGATTACGTGGTAACGTGGCTGGTGCATCGAGGAAGAAGCAAACACGCACCCACGTCTTTGTCGATGGTGGCAGAGCTCCGCCACGGCGCGGAGGTGAAAGGAATGAACTTGGGCAAGTGCTTGGCCAGCACCCTAGTAGGGCATTGCTCGGTTAGGTTCTACACCGATGAGCAGAAAGAAGACCTGCAGCGCAGCACAGCCATACCTGACGGCATACAGCATCCAAGGTGCTGTGGAGGCCTTGTGCGGCATGATGGCGGGAGCGAGCAAGACAACCCCATTCCACATGTCCGGTCGCCTGTTGGCCAGCTGAATGGCGAGGTTGCCTCCCATCGAGCTCCTACATTTCGACGCGTTTTAGTAGCAGTACACAACGATGCAACGACACGCACGGCACGCGACACGCACACACACACAGAGAGAGAAATGTACCCGAAAAGGAAGAGAGGAAGGTCAGCGTATTCGGGATGCTCCTGCAGGACCTTGTTCACGAACTGCTCGTAATCGTCGATGTAGTCGCTGAAGCTTTCCACATGCCCACGATCCCCCTCGCTTCGCCCAAAGCCTGTGCACAGTGGCCGCCAACGCGTGAGAGGCGTCCAACAGGTTCAGCGCCCAAGCCAAGGGACCCAACGGCACCTTGGTGATCGAGCACAAAGTAGGGGAATCCTTGTGAGGACAAGAACTCAGCGAGCTCCCACTGCCGCTGGCCATGGCCACCGAACCCGTGAGCGTAGAACACCACACCCCTGCACCGCCACAGCGGCACAGTTGGATGAGTTTAGCATGGTGTGTGGTGTGTAGTGTGTGGCATGTGCGTTTGTGTAATGATGCAAGCGTACTTGGGGCTCACGCTGGCAGGTGGCAGCCAGGCGTGCGTGTAAAGCCACAGCCCCTGCTTGTTCCTCATGAAGGTCGGACCTGCAAGAGAGATGAGATGGGAATTCATCATAAGGAGATGAAGATGTTGGGATTGCTTGAACCTGGCGAGACTTCATGCAAAAAGGTGGCGTGGGTTTTAATCGAGAGGGGCTTGAGGTAGCGGTAAGCCACCCAGCCAAGCAGGATCCACGGCAGGGCAGTTGCCACGAAGGGCAACGAAAACAACGATGAAACGCAATAGATTGGCATCCCCTCCACGTTGCCTTCCATTCGGCTTCCAAAGATCAATCAGCACAAACCAATAAACGGTACACTCCGGCCATTTTTTTAATAAAATAATTATTATTTTGTTATTTTATTTTATTTTATTTGACTAATTATGTGTTGCGGCACCTACTGGTAAAGAAGACACGAGCGTGGTGGCCGTCTTCTTGACCAGTAGATGCTGCACGCAGCTCGCTCTCGAGTGCATGAGCCGACGCGTCTCATCAGATCACTCGGGCGGAGATGGCGAGGAGCCGGCGAGGCGGTAGTAGAGGGTGAGAGTGCTGCCTGGCGTCCCGAACTCGGACACAAGGTCGTCGATGGTCTTGTCGCCCGCCTCCAGATCCACGTACTCGGCGTCTTCCGTTGTTGACGATGGTGAGGTCGCAACGCTGATGACGAAGTGGGCCTGCGAGCCGGGTGTGAGGAGCAGAGGGAACTTGGAGGCCAGGAAGGCCTCGATGTGCTTCACCGTCACCTTTGGCGACGTGCTCACGTAGGGTCGTTCCAGGGCGAAGCCGTCTGCGGCTGTTCGCCTCATATCTGGCCGAGGCAGCAAGAGGAAGCTCACCAGGTCTTCTGTATTCAGGAGAGACTCGGCCTGCTCCGTTCCAGGCCGCGTCGTCTTCTGTCGTCTGAAGAGAGTTGGTCGTGGTGAGACCGATCGAAAGGCAAAATGCACAATGGACTGACGTAGCGTACTTGGTCGGATGGCTCGATGCTGCCGTGGTGTCTCTGGCTGGGCGTGATGGTGAAGTAGAGGTGGTGGAAGATGGCAGGCTTGGCGATGAAAGTGCTGAGTTGGCGGCAGTAGAGTCAGAGGACGCCGCGCTGGCCTTCCTCTTACGCGTCGCTGCGGCGGACGTGGCGCTTCGCTGGCGCAGGATGCCCTTCTGCACGCTCTCGGTGAGGTGCGACTGGCAACTCATCTTTTTGTTGAGGTCGGCGATGAACTCCTCCTCCTGCGCCTCGTACTCGTCGAGATTCGGGTAGACCGAGGCGATGAGGGCGTCGAACTCGGGATCGGGCCGCAGCTGGCGTCGCGACGAACAGTGGACGCGGCAGGTGGGGCACTCGCGCTTGCCCACCCGCAGACACTTGGATATGCACTCGGCGCAGAAGCGGTGTAGACACTCCATCAGCGTCATCGTGTTTCGCATGATGCCCAGACAGATGGGGCAGGTCAGCTCGACGTTAAGCGTGCGGACCTGGATCGTCGTCGTCTGGTCGCTGTCCTCGTCGTGCAGCACCATCGGCTCGCGGTGCGCCTCGTAGAAAGTCAGCCCTTCAATCCCAGCTTCTGCTCCAGTGTCCACACCGCTCTGGGTGGAGCGCTATTGAGAAAAGAGTTGAAGAGTAGATTATGATGCGCCCAGGAGCATGGTACCTCTTTGGAAGATGCGGTGGGCTTCATCCTACGCTCGAGATCGATTAATTCTTTCAATTCGCGCCGCGAGATGCCCAGTCCCCTGCCACTGCTGCTTTGTGG